TCTTTCCTACCAAGATGAACAGTGAGGAGGGGAAGGGAACACTCTCTAACGTTTGGAAGTTTGAAGCTTCATGCAGCATTGCCATTGAAATTCAATCTCAAATCTGATGAGTAAATGGTATTTTCCATGTCAGGTGCAACTGACTTTTAGCAAAGACTTCAAACTAGTGCTATTTCCTTTTCATGTGCAAACGAATTTGTTTCCATTGCAAAAAGACCAACAGTAATCAGAAAAAAAAAAAAAGGAATGCAATATCCTTTTGAGACTTGTTATTCAGTCTTCAAAAAAAGCAGAACTGAAACAATTTTGGAGCTGGAAACATCACAGCTTACACATTACACAAGCACTGAAAAATAAATTACGTTTTATTTCAGCTTTTCCATATTTTTTCAGATCATCTGATATTTTAAGCATAAAATACTACGAGTAATGGAAAATTTTGCAAGTTTGGTGTTTCATTATGAAAAATCCTCTAAAAAAAAATTCATCCCATTAAAGCAATGGTATGTTTCTGGTTTTTAATTTACAGGCCCAAAAGAAAAATCAGAAGACCTCCGAGCTGAGCATGTAAAAAGTCATTTGAGCACAAGGACCGTGCTTCACCAGTTCCCTAGTGGACACCAAGTTGACTGAAGAAAGTCAGAAGCAATACCAGCGGGTCAAGGGAGGGGATCTCTCACCTCGGCACAGCGCTGGGGACTCACCAACATCGACGGGTGAAGTGCTCTCCTCCCCAGTACAAGAGACACACAGACTTACTGGAGTGAGTCCAGCAAAGGGCCACAAAGATGATTAAGGGACTGGAGCATCTTGACTATGAGGAGAGGCTGAAAAAGCTGGGATTGTTCAACGTGGAGAACAGAAGGCTCAGGGGGATCTTATCCATGTGTATACACACCCAGTCGAAGGGAAGGAAGCAGGAATCAGACTCATCTCAGCTGTGCTCACCAAGAGGACAAGAGGCAATGGGCACAGATTTTAAAAAACACACAGGAAATTTCACCTGAAAACAAGAATAAACTTTCTGATTTACTGTGAGGGTGCTCAAACACTAGAACAGGTTGCCCAGGCAGGCTGTGAAGTCTCTGCTGAGGGACACATTCCAAACTTGGCAGGACACAGTCCTGAGCCACTGGCTCTAGCTCACCCTGTTTGAGCACAGTGAGATGGATTAGACTATCTCTAGAGGTCACAATTCTGTGACTTCTAAAAAAACCCATGAAGATAAATGAGATTTCTCTTTCAGCAATTTCTATATTTCAATGTCATGCCTAAGCTTCCGAGGAGTCACAGGTTCAGGAGAAAGACAAAAGAAACTTCAAAGCTAATCTGAGGCCTGGCTGATCTACATTCACTTCCAAACAAATGCTTTCTTCCCAGATAAATCTGAAACACCCACTTTTCAAACTGTAGTTCCTAGCAGTTATGCTAAGTGTTGCCAGCTCAGCCAAGGATGCCACTGCCTCCTGCCACCCTGCTCCCCACCTTGCTTTGTCACAGGCAGGTTGCCAGGCTCAGCCTTGTTCTCCAGCCTTTGATATTCAGCAACCGGCCATTTTTCTCAATGAGGCGGAAGGTGTTGCTTTTCTTCTCAAAAAGCTCTGCTGCTCATCGCAGAGATAAAACTGAGACTGCCAAAGACCTCCGATTGATACCTGCGAATGTAGCATATGTAAGACAGGTAGCAGATGTAGATAAAATTTATCACTTCAGGTCATCGGAATCATCGAACAACCCAAGCAAGTCTTGGTTCTTTGTGAATAATTGGGATGGTTGTAAGCTAAGAGACTCCTCAATAATCCCTTTAGGCGGCTCAGCCTTGAGAGAGCAGATGTGCCAAGGACAGAGATAAGGAGGCTGCAAGATTACCATAAGACAGGAACGAAGCAACCTTGAAGGACATGGTAGATGTGATCTTACAACTGAGTCCGCACAGAACCAAAGGTCAACCAGCGGACACTGTGATGAAGAGCAGGACCCTTCATCTGAAGACACCTGAGAGGCACCAACAAACATGCTTGAAGGACATTAGCACAGGCTAATGAGTTCTCGGAAAAACCATGAATATGATAAGCATTTCTTGGCGCTGTAATGAATATGTATGTTAACGCAGCATAAATGCCTAGTAATTGAGTCTTTTTGCCATGCACGTTTGGGCGGAGCTATGCCCTGTGCGTCCAGCGCTGCAATAAAGAATGCCTGCTTTCTAAAACTCCAAAATTAAGTTTTAAAGAGTGAATTACTTTGCCACTTTCCGGTAACAGGTTTTGGTGACCCAGGTGGGACCCTGCTCTTGAACATCGAAGGACCCGAGGGATCACAGGACCTCCAGCCAGCACCAAGGGATTCTCAGGGAGTACCTCCAATCCCCAGACTGAAGAGATCTGAGCAAGGACCATCAATCAGGTAAAGGCATTCTTCCAGCACTATTTCCTGTTGCCTGCCCGTCAGTCGTAGTGAAAGCTTTGCAGGGTTGGGCTGTCTCCCCGGGGAGAAGGGAAAGTACCCTTCCTCCAACAGAACTGAAGCACAAGTCTCCTTCCTGAAACCAAGGTCCGGGAGTTTGTCTGTTAAATGCTGAATACGGTTGTGATTATAATCGTGTATTGTTGTTGTTAAGAGTGATAATTATTTATTAAGTCCCTGTCTGTTTGTAAGTCTCTGTCTGCTTGTAATGTTTGGATTTATGTTGAAAACTCGGTGCTGTTGTGACAATAATTGTGTGGTTTTGTGTGTTTGTTGTCACAGTGTTTGTGTGATCTGGTTTCTGTCCTCTGACAGATTTATTTGGCTTCTGTGATCTACTGGATTTGTCTGGATTAAGTGACTGCTTTTGCACTTTTCGGTTTGGTATGTTCTGCAGGTACTGATTATTTCCAGTTTTTGACTTTGGACTGTTGGACTCCTATTTATCAGGGCTGTGGTTTATAAGCTCTTCAGTATGGGTGCAGGATCTTCCCGTGAAGGGGGGAATTTTGAAAAAGTCTCCCCTAGGATCTATACTGAAACATTGGGAAAGTAGGGGAAGACACACACACCCCCCTGCACTCGAAAAGAGTAATGTGTGGGGTTTGGTTTGTTTAAAGGGAAACTGGCACAATTTAGGAACTGAACTGGAAATTTGGGAACTGGTTTTGGGATACTTATGGGTTGGTATGTATTGTGGGGTTACAAGTTCTCTGGTTATTTGGTACTGATCGATCATTTTGGGCCTCTGGTTTTGGGGTATATACTATATATACTGTATATATTGTTTTGAATGAGCTCTATGTGCATATATATAAGCATTTTGGTTAAGGTAGTTTGGTTGTATATTGTATATATTGTTGTACTTAAGTGATACAGAGTTTGTAGACAGAGGGATTCTAAAAGATCCCGTCTAGTATGTGTGTGTGTGAGTTGTGTTAACTGAACAGTGGAGAAGTTGAGAAGTTGTTTTATTGTAACATAGGCTTCAGACAGAGGTGATCCCCTCACAAGGAAGCAATTAACTGGATATTGTAATCATTGGTGGCCAATGAAGTCCCATATGTTGATTTGTTCTGTAACGTTTGGTGAATGATGTATGATTTGGATGCTGGTGAGAAATAGCCTAAAAAAAGAAAAGGAACTAAGAATTATGATATGCTGTTACAGTTGATGCTGTTTTGTAGACAGACAGAAAAGTGTAAGAGATGAATATTTTAGCCTGGTATTGAGAAATAAAACCAGACAAAAACCCCTGTGGATTTTGTGAAGGGTTGTGTGAAGTGATTAGGACAGAAAGGCGTCGGGTTGCAGGCTTCTTCACTAGCTGCTGCTTTGAATGGAAACAGCAGAAGAGTACAGAGTGAGAGAGGGGGGGAGGCAAGGTAGTCTTCCCCAGC